CATAGGTTAGAGTTGTTGTTTCTCTTCTCATCTTAAAACAATCAAAAAACACAATAAGATTTCAAACCCAATAAAAGACACTTCTTCCATAAAAGAATGTGAACTCATCAAAACGTCAATTTTTGTCCGCTTGGACTATTAATCAGAAAAACCCTTTTTTATAAGGAATAAAAACAATCAAGACAGACTTGTGTCGTACGTTTCCCGAACTACATTTGCTCTGATCTTTCATGCTGTATGAAAGTACGTAGGCATAGGATGCGATATCCTAGCGAGCAACCTTCCCCTCCTTTCCAGTAGTTAGTCGAACTACGAAGACTCTGACTTTCTCTCTTGAGAATACGTAGGCATAGAGCAGCGAGGCTCTACCGAGTACCTTTCTTTCTTTTTAACCCTTAACCTTTAGTTTAGATAGAAATAACAATCCGTACAAGAAAACAAGCATGGATCCCGTCGAGTACGACGGACGTGAGGGGTGCTAATACCTTCCCCTTGCGTAACCGACTCCCGAATCCAGGTTTTGGTTGCGATGACCATTCCTTTCCCCGTTTTGCGGTAGGTTTACCTCGAGCGTTTCCTTTCCCCTCTTTGGGATAAATAACGCGCGGTGGCGACTCCTCTGTCTTGTCGGCACCGATTTTCGCAGTAGCGACAGCTGGCGACTCTGCTGGGGACTGCGATGGTTCCCTATGCGAGTCTCGCCTTGGGTTTTCTTCCTAGCTGTCTGGGCCTGTCCCCAGTAGCTGGCGACTCTGCTGGGGATTGCGATGGTTCCCTATGCGAGTCTCGCCTTGGATTTTCTTCCTAGCTGCCTGAGTCATCCCCAGCAGCTGGCGACTCTGCTGGGGATCCAACGTCCCCTGGCTGCTAAGGACTGCGATAGTTCCTTGTGCATTTGGGATCCAACGTCCCTTAAGCGAGTCAATCCTAACGTTTGTTTTCCCGTCGAGGAATTTGTATGGATTTACATTTATGTCATTTACCCTCAGCACTATATTATTGATTATTGTTGTTATTGGGGTTGTGACGGGTGTTCTATTATTGAGAGATAAGCCGGACCTGGGCTTGAGCGTACTTAGAATTAGAGTGGAAAGTAGCGGGCGCCCACTTGCTTTGCAGGTCTTGGTGTCCCGCAAAATTCACACTCAGACGAGGTTCCTCTGGTTGGCCTCCTGCCCCACCCTTTGGGTGGCGTGGGTTGCTGGTTAGTTGAATTGTCGACTCTGGGAGCCGATCAATTGGAAGTTGGCTAAGTGAGGCCTCTTCAGGATTTGATGATGCCACTCCTTCTGGGAATCGTATCATCAACCCTGAAAGTCTGTGACGCCGACGACCGCATAGGATGCCATACCATTGTCAGTTATTAGGATACCTACCTGTGAGAGGGTTTTGGGGCTATGCAGGTAACTAGACCTCCAGATACCGGTTTGTTTCTTGATTTGAGATTCAGGATATTTATGGACGTGAGAGGGGTCTGTCAGAGACCAGTTGGAGTTATGTTATTGGGATCTGTCAGAGGTCAGGGTTGGAGCTTTGTATGGGGTCTGTCTAAGACCATGGTTTGAGCAATATGGGATGGTCTGTTTGAGACTTATGATGTGGTTTGGGCTTCTCAGCCGGGGCACTTGGTCCTTTGGTGCATCTGTTTGCATTGCATTGTTCGCATAACCATTATCATGTGCATTTCATCAACGTGTACTCATGATGCAGGTGTGCTCATTTCCCCTCCGATTCTGATACACTATTTGCCTGACATGGAGTCCCTGAAGAAAACTGTTACTTAGAAAATGAATTGTCGTTATGGATTTCTCTTCGAAACTGGAATCGGGGGGAATTAAATTTAACCTGTAGCATAATGTACACGTTCACACCTGCACGTACATATTGCATTCACCAGTAACTATTGGATCTGTACCTTATCTCTTGCATCTACTAGGTTTTCCAAGATTAACGACCAAAGAATTCCCTGATATTCAACCAGAAACAACAGTAAGAAAGTCATAGGTCAGGATCAGATTGAGATGCAGGAGATGCGCAACAATATGACACAGTTCATACAGGCGATAGAAACCGTGGCCAAGGGCCAAGAGCAGCTGTAGAACATGGTGCAACCTCTGATTGCACGGGCTAACGATAGTGCTACCGATTTTCTTCAGCAGGGAAGTCAAGGTTTTCTCCAAGGCTTCAGACGCCAACTTGTGGGGATAGACATCGAGCAGGTTCAAGCTGAGATAATTGAGGTTCGAGGCCAGCTGGGGCAATTCACGAAATACATGCAAGAGTTGCGCTCGAATCAAGAGACGCTAGAAGAAGAGAACTGCCGATTGAAGGCCCAGGTAGGATTGATGGCTGAAATATTGAGGAACATACTCAGAAGAGAAGGAGGGAAAATGTCTGAAGATGCGGCTGGCTTATTTGCTCCTCAAGGGTCTGAAGAACCGTTACCCACGCATGATAGGCTTAAGAGACCCTCTCCACAGTTTGAAGCTCAGGATTCTCCTCGTCAGCAGTCGCAATTGATCTTTCAGGATAACTAAAGGAGGTGTGGTAAGAGGATGAAGTTTTCTAACAAAGTATTTGATGAGATCCCAGTGGATTATGATCAGCTGGTGCAATTCTTGTTCCAACTTCAACTGGTTGAGCCCCGCATTTTGGTTCCACTGACTGGGCAGCCGCCACCAGACTATGACATGAACGCCTATTGTGCCTTCCACTCCGGCGCACCAGGGCACAACATCGCAAACTGCAGAGCTTTTAAGCATAAGATTCAAGATTTGCTGGATGAGAAAACAATTGAGTTTGTACCGGGCGGTATAAAAGTCTCAGGGACTGATATTCCCATTTCTCCGCCGGAGGTTGCAGACGAATCGAGGTATATCCCGGAGCCACTGGAAGATAAATCCCCATGTCCACAACAGTTGCCGATGCCAGGGTTGAATTTAAGGATGATAGCGCGTGAGCCTAAGGAACCGTCCGATCAAAGCCAGCAGCACACGAGATGCCAGTATCCGGCTCAACAAAGAATTCGGGGAAAGAGACCAAAGAGGGTATTGGAGGCACCTCCATCAACGTATGTAGAACTCTTTCAGACCTTGTTAGGTTTGAACCTTATTGAAAAGAGAACGTCAGCCCCACCAAAGGGCACACTTCCGTGTGGTTTCGACGCCAGCAGGCATTGTGAGTTCCATTCTGGGGCACCCGGACATGATATTGAGGGTTGCCACGCGTTCAAGCATAACGTCTAAGATTTAATTGACAGCAGGGTTATCAACTTCTCTGATAGGGTCCCCAAGGTGGTGCAAGGCCATAGACAAGCGAAAGTCGGGGTGATGAAAAAGGTTCCCAGGTTTGATCGGGCCGTTGAAAGAAGGTCGAGACAGTAGTGGGCTGCCCCTGATAATAGTTTCTGAGGATGGTTGACTCGCCAATAAGTCAAAATGCAAGAAGTCCGGTTCTGAGACACCGACATTTTTTCATGTTATCTTGCACTACAAGAAAAAGGGAGATTTACGACACTTGAGTTGCGACAGTTATCACAAAACCATCCTTATTCCTGGATTGCCACGGTTGTCACGACAGTTAGGATCAACTATCGTAGATTTTTTGCGACAGTTATCAAAAAATCGTCCTTATTCCTGGACTACGACAGTTCCCACGACGGTTTGAGCCAACCGTCGCAAATTTTTTAGGCATGTTGTATAAAATAATGCGACAGTTACCAAAGAACCGCCTTCTTTCCACATTCGCGACAGTTAAGGCGAACTGTCGCAATTACTTTAGCGAATCATAATTACTAATTTTTTTATTCCTTTAATTTTCTACTTTTTTCTTTCATTTTTATTTTCTAACCTTTTTAATTTTATTAATTAATTTAATAAATAATTATTATAATTATTATAATTTTTATGACAATGTAACTTAATATTCTTATCTAAAATAATAGTAACCTATTTTCTATTTTATTATATAAATAGTTAACTTTTATTAAAATTAATTTTGGTAACAATGTAAATATATTTATACTCGTTATAAAATTAGAATGATATTTTTAATCTCTATTTGTTCTATTTTATTAATTATTTTTAATGTGAATTGTTAAATTTTTTTAATTTTAAATTAAATTATAATAATTAATCTAAATTTATTAAAGAAAATATTAGTTATACTTAATATATTTATTTTTTGTTTTTGTGAAATTAAAAAATATAATCTTATATATTTTTAATCTAATAAAATTAATAAAAGGAATAATTTTTTTGAAATTGGAGCAATTGCCAACTGTGCAGTTCTGTCGTTTGCAATCGGAAACGAAGAGAGCGATAGTTCCCATGGCGATGACAGTGCACGGTTCGTACTTTCTATTTCAAACAAATCCTAATTCATAGGGTTTTCTTTAAATTCTGGTGGGAAACTAGTAGGGTTTTGTAGAACTGAACTTAGGATCAAAGCAATTTCCCCAAAATGAACTTAGGGTTTTCATTTGTATGATTCAAATTTGATCATTTAACACCAGAGGAAAAAAAGGCTTTTTTCAGATTTGAACCCTAAAATCAAAGACCTTAAAGAGAAGCTTTTTGCATGCAAGGCTGACCGTATTGAGGTTCTTGAGTGAATTATATTGATGTTCGTAATATTTAAAGTGCTATTGTCACCATTTTAACTTCAAATTTTGTAGATTGAAGCACGAAAAGCAGAGCTGGAAACTAATCTAACCACTAATCTCAGGAAAAGAAAACAAGAGCTGGAGGTTGTGATATCATCTATTGATGATGACTCTTTGGTTGTTGATGCTGATTCGAAGAAGCAGGAACTTAATAATACTAAACTATCGATTGATGATGCATCACATCAACTTAAAAGTGAAAACTTCAGCCAGTGTTGTCTTTTATCTATATCTTGAAGCTCAAATTTGTATTCCTTGTTTGACCAATTTTTCTTCCTCAGGTGTTTCTGATAGTATAAATAAATGAACTAAGCAAATAACAAAGATCAAAGATGAAATGAATAAATTGAAGGTATTTCTCTTTTTAGTTGATTGATGGTTATGTGTTTGTCCATAATGGCAAACTTTTTTACCTGCAGTCTTTGGAGGACGATTATGAAAAACAACTTCAAGAAGAAGCTAAAGAATTAGAGCAATTAGTGAGTAGAAAAAATACAAATTCTGCTAAAGAAGAAGAATATGCTAGACTCGATCGTCTCAAGTATGTTCTCAAAGCTAGATTGTTTGAAGTTGATAGCGACATGACAGAGGGACAGACTTATGATTTCTTGCACGATATTGCGGATTTGAGGAAGAGGCAAAAGCCAGGGATTGGGAGCGATAGGAAGAGGCAGAAGGCGGAGGATGACTTAAGTGACTGTGGTGGATCCAGTGGAGCTGATAATGACAAGGATTTGAAGAGGATGAAGGCGAATTTTGAGAATTTATGTGATGAAAATAAGATTCTGGTGTTTTTTAAGAAGCTGTTGAATGAGTGGAAATAGGAATTGTGGGAGATGGTAGAGACGGAGAAGCGAACAGCTAAAGGGAAGTCCATGGTTGCTACCTTCAAGCAGTGTGCGCGTTACTTGAATCCTCTGTTTAAGTTTTGTAGGAAGAAGGTGAGTTTTATTCTTTTTAGTCTGCATCATTTCAATTGAGCACGAGTATATTGATTGTTTATGCATTTATCAACCTACTTTCCTTGTGTTTGGTATTAGTATAATAGGAAAACTTACATGCTAGTGTTATTTACCCCTTAGCATATGATTGGAAACAAACTAGATATTCATTCTTACAGTTCGCCAGGATGTTACCTATTTGGTGAAATGGGAACATATTGAAATTTGAAACCAATTGATTCAAGAGAGGTGGGAACATAGTTATATTGTAGTGTTGTATATTTTAAGGCAATTTTTGGGGAAGATGGTAACAACTTTAAGGTGTATTTCAGAGAACTTTCTAAGCTTCATTGCATTTGCATGCATCAAGATGTTGTGTATATGTTGGAAATGTAAGATACGGTATTTTAAGCAACATTGTTCGACTTTGAAAATGTTTAGGAGTGGAGTGAAATTGCAAATTGGAAATTCAGTGTAATAGGACTCTCACATGGTGAGTGAAAGAAAGAATCAGGCCTATTTACATTCTACTATATGCAACCTTACCTTGCATATTTGCGAGGTTGATTCCACATCTCGAAATTGTCACATTCTAGTCGCACAAAAGCAACTCCAGTTGTTGCTTTATTTACTGTCAGGACTTGGGATTATTGGACTTGAGTACCACATTGTATATAACTTTGATTTAGGCATTGTATGACCTTGGAATCCCCTTTACTTTGTGGTGTGGTTCTCTTAAAATATATAGTTATACCTTTCTAGTGGAGGAATTGATCTATGTTGGTTGTTATTTCCATTATATCTTCTATGGGAGAGTTTTGACTGAGGAATTCGGCTGTGTTACTAGTGATGTACAAAATCTATCTCTTAGGATAAATGCTTCCTAAAATAATAAAAGAGAATTCAGTGATTCTCAAAACATGTCTCTCCTGCTTCAATATAAAGAAAATCTCGCGTTAATGCATCATCCTATTTATCAATGTAAACGGTGCTCAAAATTCTAGCACCAATAATATAGTCTGCACAGCAAAAACCGGAGGCATTTGCTAGCACCAAGAATGTAGTATGCACAGAAGACCAGAGGTATCCTCCTACTCCTACAGATTGGATATTTTAATAGCCAATTCTATACTGTACTCTGGTTCATAATTCTTAACATCAACACCTTGTTTAGAATAATTGAATAGTGTACATTGATGGAAATCCAAGTGCAACAATGTTAGACATGCTCTTGTTATTTATTTACACCTTTGTTATTAGTTGATTGAAGCACGGAAAGCAGAGCTGGAAACTAATTTAACCACTAATCTCAGGAAAATAAAACAAGAGCTGGAGGCTGTGATATCATTCGTTGATGATGACTCTTTGGTTGTTGATGCTGATTTGAAGAAGCGGGAACTTAATGATGCTAAACTATCGATTGATGATGCATCACGTCAACTTAAAAGTGAAAACTTCAGCCAGTGTTGTCTTTTATCTATAAATTGTATAAAAGTTTCTAAAAGTATAACCATCTCGCTTTCCACTATCATTTTATAGCATTTTTATGGTTGGCTTCTGTGCTCCAACTATGCGTGTTATGTTAAACTGATCAATACCCCTTACCATTGTCGTGTACTGTTAAGAAATTTTGGTCTCTTCTATCATGCTTTCTTTTATGTTTTTGATTTTTGCTTTGTACCACAGGAGAAAAAGCTGATGGAAGAACTTGAACGACTTAAGGATGAAATCCATGGTTGTGATGAGAATGTCCAGAACCGTAGATCGAATATTACTTCTATGGAATCTCAAATTGCTCAGTCACGTGAAGGGTTTAATATCTATAAAGAAAAGAGAGATATGCTTAATGACCAGAGGAAGTTCGTATATCCTGTCGTTTTTTGTGATGTTTGTGTATTTTTTGTGGATGAAAAAAGAATCATAAAACAGAAGTTAGCGTACAATGAAATTGTAGGATGGATTGTAGAAAAACTATGTGGAGAAAAAGTACATTACTTCTTACTTTTAATTGTCAATGAGATATTTCTTATGAATTGATATTATTATATTATAGGTCTTTATGGAACCAAGAAAATGAATTAACTGCTGAAATTGATAAACTGCGAGCAGAAATTGAAAAGGCTGAAAAGAGTCTTGATAATGCAATTCCTGGCGTGAGTAGTCCATCTTAAAAGCTTCTTTTAATGTGGTACCAATGCATAAAATGTATAGGTCCCTTATGTATTGTTTATTGCATATAATTTTAATCTCAATGTTTCTATAGACCTATTCTGGGGGTATGTTGGCATGATTATACATCACCATGTTTGACACTCTGCTAGAATATGCAGGATGTTAGAAGAGGGTTGAATTCAGTTTGGAAGATCTGCAAAAGTTATAACATTTCGGGAGTTCATGGTCCAATTATTGAGTTGCTGAACTGTGATGAAAATTTTTTCACCGTAGTTGAAGTGACTGCAGGAAACAGGTCTCCCTGTAATTCTTTGAATAAACATGTTTGATAGCTTGAGGCTGAGCACTCTTTTATTAATGATAAAGTTGCACAGTTACAGGAAAAGGTAAGCTTTTAAACTTGTTCACGTGCCTATTATATTCACTTCTTTTTCCATGACCTTGAAGAGCTATTATGTTTTAGATGTAATGTATTTCCTTATAAATTTGGTGTCTCCCTGTTTCTTTTATTGCATTAAATAGGGTTTTTTCTTATTCGAACTTCCAAATTATATTTTAGGAAGATAAAGAAGTCTTTGAAAGATCAAAATGAATTTTCTCATCAAATGAGATTAGTCTTGTATATTCCAGAACTGGAATGTACCGAATTCCAGAAACTTGGAATTTTGCATGTTCTCTGTACTTTTTCATGCTTATAAAATGTGCCCAATTATATGTCATGTTATCTATCCTATCCCCAACCCAGTAATTTGAGTTCAAGTGGTTTATGAGCTCTACTTAAGGACAAATCGTTTGAGAGAACCCGGATTTGAATTCTGAGTATATATATGTATCCCTAATCTATTATTTAGTCATTGTCTCATCAATGATCTCTTGACAGTAAAGAAGGCACCGTAGCAGTGGACTTGGTCAAATTATTTGGTATTAAATCAAGTGTTGTTCGGTAAGTGACATAAATTTATGCACTATTGTTTTCTGAAATTCAATCATTTTCGTTTGAACATTTATATCATCATGCAAATAATTATGCCGACATTCAAGAACAAGGCTATTCGTATGTTTAATTCAAACTTATGTGCAATTTTTGGTTCAAAATGAGAACTTCATATGCTTTGGTTGTTTTGGTTGAATGCATCAGGAAAAGAAAGGAGTGGGACGTATATGAACCCATTGTGGATCTTCTATCCAATGAAAAAGTTGATGTCCTTGAAGCAAAGGAAGAGAGAAATTTCAGGTGAATTGGCTCTGTAGTTATTTATGTCTTGTCTCAGATAGTTCAAAAGAGTGTATATTTTTAATGTTTTAGTTTGAAGTTATTTAGATGTATACTAGATGGTTTTATAAGACCATAAATCATTGATTCAGCATATTGTTATCATTTGCTTTTTGCAGTGTTTCTTCTCTTATATCTTTCTGTACAAAGAAAAAACTTTAGGCATAAGATCAAGGTTTTCATCAAATTGAAGGGGTCTATTAGAGTTTTATTAGTAAGCTCTTTATTCAGTAAGTTCTATTATAGTTTTATTCAATAAGCTCTCTATAGTTACCTATAAGACTGACATGAAGTCTTTATGGTTTACTTTTTGTTCTGTTTTCTAATGACACTGTTAGTCTTTGTTGTGACATTTGAAGGAGTAAAATATTCTTATTCTTATTCTTAACAAATACAAGTGTTTTTCAGACAAAAAACTACTAGAATACCATACACAACCTGAGGAAGTTTTGCTTTTGGAAGAGTGTGTTGGTGAAGCCAAAAGATTAGCAGCAACTAGAAGACTACAAAACTGATTATGAAGGGCTCATTATGAAGGGCTCATGATGATACTAGAAGACCACAAGTGATTTTCTTTATTGGTGCTAACTGGAAGTAATTTTTAAGCTTTTGTAGATGTTCATGTCTATCCTCTAAGGCAAAATCATACCAAAGAATTCTTCAGCCATCGGTAGAAAATCTTGGATCATCACTTGGTGTGGAAAATTGGGCAGAATATCTTGGATCATCATAGGTTGTACAATTATATTGATTATATTGTATATATATATATATATATATATATATATATATATATATATATATCAAGTTATAGATTATGACATTTGATCATTTAGATATTCATAAGTATATATTTAGTAGAAAATATAATAAGTTATTTAGAAAAGTGATATAATGAAATATCAATTGTTTTTTAAGTTATATAAATTTATATATTTGTTATATGTGAGTCTTTATATATTTGATATACGTGAGTCTTTATATATTTGATATATTACCAAAAAAAAACAATAATAGTTTAAATTAAAAAAACTATTATAAAAAAAATGAGATGAAAGTAATTTAAATAAAAATAGAATATTATAAAAAAAATTCTATAGATAAAATTACGACGGTTTAAACCGTCGCAACTAGCATAAATAATATTTAGAACTAGTAAATATAATTACGACGGTTGAAAACCATCACAATATGGAGATTACGACAGTTAGCTACCCGTCGTGAAAATAAATAATATTTAGAATTAGTAAATATAATTACGACGGTTGAAAACAGTCATAATATGGAGATTACGACAGTTAGCTACCCATCGTGAAAATAACGACGGTTTGTGCGACAGTTTTTACAACCGTCGCAATACGGCCTCGCGACGCACGTTTCCGCGACTGGGTTGAAACCGTCGTAACTTACAAATTGCGACGGTTAAAACCGTCGTAAT